GAGAGCTTCGTATTATTATGGTGTATTAAACACAATGGGGAATGTATTATTTTATATAATCGTAATTTGCCAGCCAGCAAAATATAAACAAGGCAAGGACAGCCAAGGTTTTATACTCTATACTATAGTGACCATACGGTAAAATCTTACGACATAGCAGTAATAGCAGTATGGCTTGCCGTATTCTGTTTAGATACCGGTATATGTTATACATTTTACACTTTGTCTTTTGAATTTTATATTTTAGCCGACAGGTTTACACTTTAATATAGCGTTTGTTTTTACTGTATTTATTTTAAAATTTTTGAAAAATTAGCGTAACATGTCAATCAACCTGTGGTCAACGTAAATTCAGCCAATCACAATTCTCGGCAGCCAGGAGTGATCAATTTTATTAGGGCTTCCGGGCAGGCTCTCCTTCAATTATCTGCCCTATAAAAGAGCCGGCCACGCTGGCTAGTTCATTAGAGAGAAAGTGTAACAATGTTCGGTTTGAGACTGTCTGATCAGAGAATTTTGATCATCAAATTTGCCTGCACTACGATCAAATAGGAAACAGAGATTCTGCTATGCCCTTCCAAATGCGTTTACGTTGGATTGACGAGATGAATATACGCATAACGAAAACCTATACGCACAGATGCATGGGATCATATTTTCCTTGCTACGTGTGGTATGATGAGAAAGGTTTGAGTTATTTCCTGTTTAATTATTAATGATGGCTACTATACCGGTCCAAATTTTGCAAAACTTCTCATTGGAAGATTAGCTTACGTCATAGCACGATCCTACGTGCAGCTTTGGCGAAAAGCTTGCCCCTGCACACGTACGATTCGTTTGGGGTTATGCATAAATTAAAGTGCTCTTTCTTTTCGAAAGCGATTGTTTTTACGGTATGTGAACATGAATATATGAATATACACTCCCCCAATAATCGCGTCTAGGAAAGGCCCTGATTAAAGCTATCCCAAGTGGCTTTATCTGAAACTGACCAATTCGGTGATAATCGAACTGAGACCCAACAGTCATGCATTGAACAAGTGAACAACTCGTATAGAAAAAGAAAAACTATTGTGGAATCAACAAAGAAAAATTTGCAAAGTAATTTGAGCATTTGCATGAGATTGGTCAGCGATCTATTGTTGTAATAGCTATCGTGGTGTTCAGGAAACCAAAACCTTGTCATAGAACATTTGTTGTAACATTTGGCGCGTATCATGTTGCGTGAGACACACGCATTTCCCATCTATCTTACGCTTAATTAAAACGCATAATTATATTTCACACACCCAATTCCATAAAAAGTCTTTGATGTTCTTCTGATTTCTCGCATACACTAATTATTAATGGCTGCAATAGGATGTATTTTTTGATCAATTGTTTTGAGATTACCGGCTGAACAGAGATTAAAATATGCTAACATTTCAACATTTACTGCAATATTTTCAATCAAAATTTGTATTTTTGAAATTTATGATTGAAATCCGACTTTTTGATTTCACCAGCTCCGGCAAAAGACGTCTAAACTGTGGAAATTGTATTAAATAGATCTCAACATGTTGTGTGGCCCTGCAGCGTGTTAGTATTTCGTCGCCACCTACACTAACACCTATTTTTCACCCTGCTGGGTTTTCTTTGTTCTTATTGGGGAATATATTCAATATTCCCCTCTAATCAATATCCGTTTAATAATCCTCTCTAATATTCACCTGCAATGTTTTTGCAGCACAAAAAATAAGAGAAAACAACATAACGAAGGCAACATGGCATTAAGAATGATTTCTATTCTGACTCATTAAAGCGACCTCGTAATGTGAAAAATAAGTGCGTTATTTTCAGGCAACGAGGGGATTTGTGTTTATTCACCTCGGCGCGCTGCGCGCCTCGGTGAACAAATCACATATCCCCTCGTTGCCTCAAATAACCTAATATACATATCGTTCGAGATTTTAAATGCATAGTTTACAACGGAAGCTCACAAATTGTAACAGATACCTCAAGATTGACGTAAACGTCATGAGACTATTTGCAGTGCTCACGACGTCAGACTGATCGTTCTTACGTCACGCAAAAGTGTTTACATTCGTAGATCAGCCGCAGCCAAAGGGTATAAAACCATTACCTGGGAAATGAAATGCCAGTGATTGCTTTGGACTAAGAAGATAACTACATCCACTTTAGCAGTTGAAGATTATTGTCACCTATCAGGTATGAGTTTACTCCTTTATAAATTAAACTACTACAATTACTCAATTTATAAATTAAGTCTCACACTGTTAATTTCAGGGAGTTAACTTAACTCCGGTGGAGTTATACTGTGGAGTAAAATTAGGTTCACAATAATACCACTGGAGTTAAATTAACTCCCTGAAATTTACAGTGCAGTATTGTTTATAAACAATATATATATATATATATATATATATATATATATATATATATATATATATATATATATATATATATATATATATATTTTTGGGCAAAATAAATATCTATCTTATGTTACTCAATCGAACGGTGGTATTTTCATCTATAAATAGCATGCACTGAACCAACGATATGAACGGCAAAGTTGTTAGATTGAAACATTGACTTGTTTAATGTATGTATGCGTAAATGGAAAAGACTTAAACAGATAGATAATCGTCAGATAGATAAACTTGATTGAAAGCAAGACAAAGTTTTTTCGCACAGGATTTATCGGCAATTCCGTGCAATATTGTGAACGCTCAGTGGTTTTGAAGCATATAATTGACTTCCGATCTATCAAACCCTTTTTATAAGTGGAAATATGTCGACGACACGACAATATATCAGAAATCATAGCCAAAGATATCCCCAGTAGAACAGTGGTGAAAAAGGAATTTGCTACAACGCAACTACAACGTTTAGTCGTTCTTGAGACTATCTACCACCGCCATTGTCCGTTTGCGTGACGAGTCTGCCATTAATTTACTGATCAAATTGAAAGCGTATCCTACTGGTTCCATGACAGCACTCGAGGGCATTGTAAATATTATATCGAGTAAATGGTAATAAAAGCTGGAAGGCATCTCGCAAGCGGCAGTACTTTCTTGTGCAATTTATCTATCTGACGATTATCTATCTGTTTAAGTCTTTTCCATTTACGCATACAGTCCATACATACATTAAACAAGTCAATGTTTCAATCTAACAACTTTGCCGTTCATATCGTTGGTTCAGTGCATGCTATTTATAGATGAAAATACCACCGTTCGATTGAGTAACATAAGATAGATATTTATTTTGCCCACAAAACTATATATATATATATATATATATATATATATATATATATATATATATAAATATATATATATATATATATATATATATATATATATATATATATATATATTTAAAAAACTCATTAATAATTCAGGAGCAAAACACAAAGAAAAATCATAAGCGTGTCGTATCTTTATATGTGATAAAAAATTATGTTAATTTACATAAACTTTAGCTTTGATTTTCTCGGTTTAGACAAAGTTTATTTTAAAAATTACTTTGCAAATGTACTCATCAGAAGATGGGTCGTTTTTTGCAAATGTACTCATCAGAAGATGGGTCTTTGACTTGTAGTCGTGTTTTATCAGATATAAAACGCTCGGCTGCGCCTCGCGTTTTATATCTGATAAAACACTCCTACGCGTGCTTTAAATAGACATACAAAGCTTATGAGAATATAATAATATAAAGGGGCAAGGGCTAGGGACCTATCCAGTTGGACTTTTACGTAAGGCCCCCATTTTTCAATAACTTAGCTTGAATAAAGAGCAATATACTATTTACAAACAGAAATAATAGTGAAAAGACAAAAGTAATTTACAATATTTACATCATTGAATCAGATACTCAATAATATAATTTTGCTCAGTTTCTTAAAGGAGAGATATGAATTAGTATTTTTGATATCTTCAGTTAATACCGCTATTCCATAGAGAGACGCCTTTGTTGAAGACAGTATATTTTCGGTAATTCGTTCTTTTGTAGCTTGTAACTTGGTGGAATTACGTGTATTATAGCTGTGAAATTCGTTATTTTGCTTAAAGTAATTACCGATAGAAGCCTGGTAAATTTTGATACATGGATGAAACAATATCTCCTAACTCGCATGGTTTTAGTCGATAGCTTTATAGTCAAATGTCAACATTGTAGCGATTTATGGCTTTTGAAAGTCAAGCGAGATGGTATATTAAAACAAATTACGCAATATCACTCGATAAATATAAACTAGAAATACATCCATGCAGCAACCCCTCGCCTATATTTTCCAAACATTGATTTAATTAACACGGAAGTATTAGCAATTGATCAACACTGAACGCAAGCTCGCGTTTACGTCAGTGTTGCCTTGACAACACGATAATTTTAATTTGTTATTATGCTTTTGTACAACACGGCAAAAATAGTTGAAAGATTATTGCTTTTAACTATATAACAATGTATTTCCGAAATATGTACTGTAGGTATGTTGTTCTGGATTTTGTGAGCTTTGATTTAATTAATGTAAAATTTAACCTGAATTGCTTCGTAAAATGTTTGAAAGGTTCATTTTAATAACTAAACTGCTTTTGCATGCCGATAAACTGTTTTTACTTGAAATTGTTGAATAATTTCAGTTGGGTCTTCAAATTAATTTGCTCTCCTTTACATTTTACTTTTTCCTTAAATTAAACAAGGACAGGGTAATTTAGGAAACGTACAGTTTCATTGAAAAGGAAAATAATAGTGCATGTTTTACGCAATAAATTATTAAAGCCACAAAATACATAAACATTATACACTTAATGTCTGCATCCGAGGGAAATAGTTAGGTTTGTTTTCCCGAGAATCTCAATGTTTCCAAACATTGAGATTCGAGGGAAAACAAAACTAACTATTTCCCGAGGGAAAAGACGTTAAGTGTTTTGTTATATAGCGACGAAACAAATATCAACATTGAACAACATTCATACAACAATATTTGTATTTCTTGACAAAAACTCTATAGCGTAAATGAGCTTAAAATTTAAAAAACCTACTTAAATGGTTTCAGCAGCATATCTTGTTGCCTGTTATGTATTTTTCTTCTCTTTTACATTCTTTATTTTAACACAAAGCCACGAAAACAGTAGTTTAAATAGTATAAATTTGTGCCGCCATTTTGTTTATTTATGTACGTAGCCGGTCGGGGCGGGTAACAATTTTTCACTTATTGCCCGGGCGGGATACATTGCATTTATCTAAAGCCACGTGACTACAAATCAGCCAATCACGTTTGGTGTTCACACTAGCTATATAACAATATTCATTAAACATTCAAAGCAAACTTGCCCTATTTTTCACGATTTTCCATAGTAGCTAAATCAATTCTTCTCAATCGGCAAACAAAAATTGCTTCAAATCGATCTCATTGTGTGAAACGTGATTTTCCATGCTCTTGAAAATTGAAATCTGCCTTTAGTATCCTCAGTGTGCTTATCCCACTCCTGGCAAACAGGGATAATTTTGAGATCAGTGAGCTTGTTCAGTTGTTTGTTCCGCCGATGACTCATTTGTTAGGAACGTGTTTTGACATCAGGTCGTAAACAAAGTTAACAAACAAGCGCATATAAAGACAACGACGTAAGCGAATTTCACTTCGAGAATCATGTAATACATTAATCACTGTTCTCGGGAAAATCGTGTATTCGTGTTACCATGATAACTTGAATAACTATGGTTTGGTCAGCAAGGCGAGAGTTTCTACGTGCATGTACTTTCTAGTAGTATGATATAAAATTACCCGAAATAATAAGAATGCAAGATTTGGGCTAGGAGCCATAAAGAAACCATTGTAGACTTTTGATTTTGACCCCTAGTAGAACGTAACATTATGTAGTGCAGTAGACAGGGCCGTAGCTAGACCGATAACTGGGAGGGGGGTGGCATATTCATATATTCGTGTTCTGCCCGACGGATTTCTTTTGAAAGCGATTGTTTTTACGGTACTATGCGAACATGAATATACGAACTACCCCCCTCCCATTTATCGCGTCTTAGCTACGGCCCTGGCAGTAGAACATATAAAAGTGTATATGAAATGAAAATTTCGATATCGGGAAAATTTGGTCTTTTCCGATCATAAAAATACCAACCTTGTTGAAAAATTCGAACCATAAGTTTGTTTTTTTTTCCGATTAAAATAAGATTTTGAGACTATCTGCTAGCGAAATTCCTGACATTCCATCGCGCGGCCAGTGACGTATGCAGTGTGACACAATGCGATCTTTCGATATTATGTAAACACTATGAAAATCAGCTAGTATAGTTTTGTCTGGGTAGAATTGGGTTTTTGAGAGATTTTGAAGAAAATTCAAACGAATCCACTTTCTGCAGACATCGCTTTCAATGTATATAGATACAATATAATTACAACATGACGAGTTCTAGCGTATAAGCGGCCGAAAATGCAAATTCTATGAGACAAGAGACTATGCCGGTCTACGTTGTAGGTTTCAACCGCATATTATGTAGATAGGCTATGACTGATATTAATTATGGCAAACATTGTAGTAACTCTAGTGTAAGCATAACTTGGAAATTAATACTAAATATCTACATTTACTGACATTATGTCATAACATGACCATTCCAAAACAAACAAACAGTTGAATTGCATATATAGCGTGGTAAAATACGATAGGGTAACAGGACTTCGAGCTTTAATTAATATAGCTACTTCTGATGATGGGCTCACTTCATTATATAATTTAGGTTCACAGCCGGTTCACTCACAACCGTTCGTTAAGTTCACATTGAGAATCTATTACATCTAGTTGCGTGTTTTTGTACACGAAATAGACCAGAATTTCATTTTAGTATTTATCTCGCCTCTAGAAAACTTCAGCGAGAAACGCGTGCATGTTTTGCGCAACAGACATAGCGCGTCTACCGACGTCACGAAACTCACACCAGCACTCGCACGCAATCTTGTTTGCATCTGCACTATCTAACCCTATAAAGCAGTGTAGTTACTATGCATTTACTATGCATGCTGGAAGTGGTCTGCAATTCTCCCATCCCAGCATGCCAAATACCCATCTGACTATCCAACGATATGCTACTGCTCGAAGATATCTAAATAATCAAGCAGTGAGTCGTTAATTTCATGTTTGCAAATACATATATATATATATATATATATATATATATATATATATATATATATTAAGATGAAAATGTTCTAGAGTGTGTATTATATAATTTACATACCCAGCGCAAGCAGAAAGATGTTGTCTGCCGCGGCTGGGTCTTGAACCCGCGACCTTCGAATTACTAGATCGACGCTCTACCAACTGAGCTACACGGTCAGACGGATTTAAGAATATATATATATATATATATATATATATATATATATATATATATATATATATATATATATATATATATATATATATATATATATATATATATATATATATATATATGAATGGGTGTGAGGTACCATGTCTGGATAGTGTTAGCCTGCGTGGCAGGCGGTATTTCTACAGGCAGCGAAAATTAGGGAGGCAAAGGAAATACCGTCTGCCGCAAAACTAGGGGTTTTTGAATTACCCGTCCGCTGGTGAACGGGAAAAACGGATTGGTTAGTATTTTTATGTAGTTGGCAATCAACGGCTAAATTCGGTTAAATGTTAATCATTAACCAAATGTTTTGACGTTTTGAAACTCTGCGTTTTGAAATTAGTTCACGTCAAGTCAGACCGGAAATGGAATAACATAATAAAAGAAGCAAATTAAATGATACAAGCTGAAAAATAACACTCTAAATAGTGTTATTGATAGAGATTCGAACAAGAATATCTAACAAAGAAGATACGAAGGGACCGAAGTTATGATCGGAGAAAGGTATGGGCTAGTCTATATTTTCGTTCAGACAATTACATGCGTATTAATTTGATAATATACTATCTCGCTTGACTTTCAAAGGCCATAAATCGCAATAATGTTGACATTTTACTAAAACTATCGATAGAAATTAGGAGATATTTCTTCACTGAATCGAACAGTGGGATTTCCATATAAGGCCTATCAGTCATGTTCTGAACCAAAGATACTTGATAGATATTAATATATACGAACCTCCAAAGTATAAACAAGGGGCCGGTTGATGCAGTAATTATCAAATAACACTTAAACTCTTATATACCCGTTGAATATGTATAGTTGTAAACAAATAAAAACTATCGTTCTATAAGGGTTCAATACTTTCAGTTTGGTTGTTGACTGATGATGAATCTATAGTATAGACTTGCATGCTTTGTATTTTGAGCTTATTAAACCACCGCTTTAAGGCAGCTAAACGGCTAAACGGGCTTGGTTTATATTAACACATAAAATAAATTCCTTGATTCTCATCACTAGACACAGTCTACACTTTGAAATGTCGAAGACAGTGGGAGATTTATTTTTTATATTTTATATTTATATAATTTATATATTAATAGTTCGTATCTCCACAAACAATGACAGAATGACTGAGTTTCTTTAAAATACAATGAAATTTCATTCAAAATTCTGTTTGTTTGAAATTGGAAGTTTAAATTGGCACTAAAAACCCTATATAAAATATAAAAAAATTAACTGTCTTGAATTATTTTGTCGGGCGGTACATTTATATTGTATAACGAAAAATAAAACGTTTTCACGAGGATTTTAAAATTCAGTCGGGCAGTGATGAGAATCAAGGAATTTATTTTATGTTGGGCAGTTGGGACTTGGGAGCAGCTTGGGAGTGGCTAATTTTGAATATTTACTTAATTAATGCATCTATAAATAGCGTTGATGCTTCAGGGGCGGTAGTTCATTTACATCCAGTTTTGCGGCAGGCGGTATTTCCTACGTACCGCCTGCCATGCAGGCTAGGTTACCATCATTTTTTGATTTTGGACATTCTGCGCTATGAAGTGTTCCACAAAAACACTTCACATACCGTAAACCTCCGACTATAAACCACCCCGAATATATAAGTACCCAAATTTTTAAAACTTGGGTATGGGGTATAAAACTGATTGATCTGTTAAGTTATTAGTATTGTATATTGTTGTATATTGTGTGTATTAAACAAACTGTTATATTTAACATTTTAAACAACCGGGCCAGCAATGTTTAATCATATGGTTTAATTTATGTGTATCTTTACTAATACTAAAGTCTAAAATGTTTTTAATTCAATAAAAGTCATGATCACACACTCTTAATTATTGGTGAATCATCACAATTTAACAACAAAATTTACTGAAAGTTTGCAAGTTATTCTAAATTTTAGGTAAGTATTAATTACCTCTGCAAATACATTTTAAATCTTACACACAATTGAATGCTGTCCTTTTATCCATTTAATTCGTAAGAAACTGTAAAATGATTTAGTTAAACTTCCGTGTATACACGTAAAAACGCACAAGTTGTAACAAACCTTGCAGCAGACTTGTAGCAATGCTGTTCCAACAAATTTTTAATAGGATGTGTTCGCACTGCTTGTTCCCAGCTTGTCAGACTTGTTACAAGTTGTTCCAACAACTTGTTATCGTCCTGCAATTCAACAATTTGTCAGCAAGTTACGAGTGACAACCTTGTATCAACTTGATAAAATAACAGTATTGTTACAACTTGTTGACAAGCTTGCTACAAGCCTGTTGCGAACACATCTTGTTGACAAGTTGTGAGATTTTTACGTGTGTATCAGCCTATAGTTATAGACATAAATAATTTTCTACAAGATACGGTATCATACTGTGCCACTCTTTAATAAAGTTTTCAACCCAAATATACTCTGCTGTGTTGGTGTAATGTACTCAGGTGAATAAGATGTTTGTGTGATGTTACTCTGAGTGTATATCCACACCGGGCAGGCTTGAAAAATATGCCTGGCCACGGTGGGATTCGAACCTACGACCTTTGGAATACTAGCCCAATGCTCTTCCAACTGAGCTACGCGGTCAGGTCGATTCGAGTATGCGATATTTCGGAACTGAGTCTAGTTCCTTCGATATCAGTGTAATCTAATAATCATGAAATCTGGTGTGTTGGTGTATAATGTACTCAGGTGAATAAGATGTTACACTGATATCGAAGGAACTAGACTCAGTTCGTAGCTCAGTTGGAAGAGCATTGGGCTAGTATTCCAAAGGTCGTAGGTTCGAATCCCACCGTGGCCAGGCATATTTTTCAAGCCTGCCCGGTGTGGACACCAAAATATACTCGTTCATCACTGTTCTGACTTCGGTTCTGACGTGAGAGAAAGTTGACAATGTCATTAACCCATTGAGCGCCAGTGCTCCCCACGTGATGAGTAAAATCGTCTGGCGTTAGAGTAAAAAATAGGCGCAATGTAACTTTTATTGGTCACTGAATACATTTCTTGGTGGTGTGTATATTAAAATTTCCAACAAATTTTAAATTGATTTTAATGTCGTTAGACACTATTACAATTTACAATTACAAGCTTCGATCATTTAGCCGTTTTTCGAAATAGTTTGACCTTTCATTTTTTAAGCGTTTCAGGTGTACAAGAAAAAATTATGTACTCTATGGTTTGGCCAAACAAAAGGCAGTCAGTCACAGTCTTGGCGTGAGAGAAATGTTTTGCAACATATTCTGTCATTTCTGTGCACATGAGTAACAAAACTAATGTCAGGGGAAACTTGTCAAGGAAAACTTGTTGCGGAGCGTACACACAAGAAAGTAAACATGGTCAAGGAAAATATATGGGGTTTTACATGGAGTAGATGGTAGCAAGGAAATCACCATACTTCTTTCAATGTTACAAAGTAGAAGACTACACAATATTCAGTAATGAAAGATGAACATGATTTCATTTTCTTACTCTGATAGCACTTATGAACTCGCCCATAGCATACACGCACAGACAAATCATAGAATTAATTAAAAGTCCACTAGTTTCACTTTACTTAAATTGACACAAATCACACTCTAGGTTTACTACTAAACGCCTCGTAAATATTCGCAGCAAAACTTTTAACACATTCAAGAGACACAACATCATGTAAATAGTCATTCTTGTCCTCTGAGAATACTTCGGTTGCTTTACCATTGACAATTGGACAGATTTTGGCAAGCGGGAGATGAATTGAGCAAAGACCATCTTCTATCGAACAAATCATATCCGGGGGTGTGTCTGTAAAAGAAAATATTGTTTGGTGATTTTTTGTAATTTAGTCTTGGTTTCATTGACTTGCTGGCTGACCGACTTACTAGTGAGACTACTGCCAGTCATATACTGTTTATAAAGTAATTGATATAATAACCTTGTTGATCAACAATAAATGATGACTTAATTTGCTTCATAACAAACATAAATCCAACATCAAGACAAGTGTTGAAGACGACTTGAAAATCTTCGCTTTCTAAAATATCCGCTGTTTCATTTAACAGCTGGCTAAATATCACGTCTGTCTCTGATAAACTGTCTTTTGGTAAAACGATCGAGGAAATTTTTAGCTGTGACGTTGTTGAACCTTCTATCAATTGCTCGGGACTGGAGAACTTCAGACATTGCCGTATTTGTCCTAGCATTCGTTTAATATCATGGTAGCTCAACTTTTGCTTTAGAGATACACTTCCTAACACACCTATATGAAAAAAATGCATACAGCTATTTCAATTAAGGTTGTTCCCAAGCAAAGCGGAAAAATCGAACACCAGACATGTACGGCACACTTAATTGATTCCATACAGGTTTACCACCTGTACAAGTGTACCAACATGTCCGGATTGGAGGACCATTTCATTTTTAGCAGGGAGCACTAGTTAACTATTTTCAAGAATGATACACTACCTTCTACGACATTCTGTACGACGCCAACTAAATCTTTCACACCCGCCTCCAGAAAATACCTCACAATCCCGAGATATTTTTTCTGGGTGGGGTCACTCATGTATACCCTTCTACTTTCCTCGGGCGTGGCTGAAGTACCCTCGTCGGCCACACCCTCAACATCCAAATACATGTACCCTCCTAGCAAATTTAACTGCACCCTCAAAAATACCGCCAATAACGAACTCGCGTAAATTGCTGTCACGGTCCGTGTAAAACTAAGGATCTTTAATTGCTCCCAAAGTAACAGTTTATCCGATGGTTTATTTTTAAGTTTTTCTGTAATCGCTTCGGAATCGACAAGCTCGAATATAGCATCTTGTAAGCCTGGAAGTAAACTGTAAAATGTAGTGTTGCATGTCTTTTGATTGCCATCAAAATGGAGCTGTTTCTTGGACTGAGCAAGAAATTCGACTTGCTGTGTTTCGTACCAGTCACTAAGTTTCCAATGAGCCAGTTTGCCAAGCGCATATGCACCGCCTAAAAGAGCTCCTGTAATAACAATTTTACGGCGATGCCGTTCAAAAAAGCCTCTTAAAGAAGAAAACATCACGTTTTACCAGTTTCGTGAAGTTTAACAACGGAAATTGCACAATTATTTAACGTAATTGTACTTTGTTTACAAATTAATTTAAATAGCAAGAAGACGCCATATTGAATTACATAGAGAATTAGCTGGAGGTACTCTCCCCCCTGACTACTTATTGAACTCCGGTTTGTTTCCATATTAATATTCATTGACATTTTTGCCAGCGAAAACAGCCTCTATTTATCGCCAATTCCGTGAAAAAATTTTACTAGGATAATATATAGCCCAAGTATAACTATTTAAATAATTTAACGTCTTGTATAAATTCTTATCTTAGGTTTTGAAAATGTTTTATTTATTTATTTTTTTTTGTAAAATATTTTAGTTAATTTCCCGCCCCCCGGAACTTACTAAAGGACGCGTCTCTATGGCCAGCCCGGGAACTACAAAACAAACATGGACGACTTTCAAAACAAAACAAAATATTTTTTCAAAAACATACGGTTTAAAAGGACAACTATGCTTTAAGCTATGACAGGGTTGGAAGAACTGGATGAAACGGATATAGAAGAAGCCATAAGGCTCGAACTTGCGGCGTTAGACAACTTGGATTTAAAAAATTTAGAGACTTTTTCAGATGCAAAATATGAAAGCTCTCAAACAGATTTATCTGATACAGAAACGGTAGGGTCAATTTTGTTGTATGTTTAAGCGTTGTGATGTTTTTGGTTTGTTAAATTTATATCTTTATTTGGTATAAATTTAAATCCCCAATATTTTTCAAAGTGTTAGCCACTGACAAGATTTGGGTTACTGTTACCCTGCTAGCAGTGGTTTCTAGCTATTTTCTGTCGTCCTTTTAGAAATTATCAAGTGAGGAAAAATATGGTTTACCACCAGACTCAGTTGAAACATTCATCAGATTGTTACAGTCAAAAAATGACAAGCTGCAAGAGGAATTAGCCGAGGCTGAAGATGCTGTGAGATCGCCAAGCCAACATAAAAATATCACCGCTGTGGTTGAGAACGAGAATGAAGAGGATGACATGAAAATTACGCCTGAAGTGAAAGAAAAAGTAACTATTTTATGCACCTATGCGGCAGGGATTTTGACATTTCAAAAAGAATTGTCGACATCCACACCCTAGGGACAACATAAACAGATTTTCAGATTTTGCTTTTGGGGGGGGAGGTGTGTATGTGCTGAAAATCTATGGGGGGGGTGCCAAAAATCTAAGGGGGGAGATGAGGGATGGGGTGTATAGCACTGTTGAACAAGTTGCAGCAGGGGTCTGGAGGTACAGTTGCTAATGGGGGTTATTTAATTTAAAATCCTTGCTTTTATTCTTACTTACTTCAAAATCCTTATTTCAGTCACACTACTGTCATTTAATCCAATAAACATTTAAGTTTCTCAGGGGGTGCAAAATTTCTGGAGGTGGGGGGGGGGTTGGGAAAACTTTCTGGGGGGTGCAAAATATTTTGGGGGTGCCCCCCGCCCCAATTTTTAAGTACCAGTATTCCTACCCAAGCACTAGCATGACTGTCAAAATCCCAGTTATCAACCAACTGTTGTATAACTAAACTTTTTTTGCAAATTTCAAATATCCACACCACAGGGCAATAATTTAAAATCCTCACGCACAGGACACCACAGTCTGTAAAATTCCCACCAATTACCCAGACCCTCCCCCTGTGGCATTAATGTTGATGGGTGCATTACAAAATGGAAATTTTGTGTGAAATACTACATATTTAATAAAAACGTAGAATTACGAATGTAGATTGTCATGTTTTGTGCAGCGCGTATTACTTTGCCTGATTTATTTTAATGATTCATTTTATAGGTTTTACATGAAATAGAGGAACTTGACGAAGATGATATAGTAACTGACAAAAAAGGTAAAAAAGACAACGGAGCATGAATCTTGTTTTCATGATTGGGATATTAGCCTATATTGTGACATTAATAGACAATTCCCATTATAGACTAATTTTAAAATTAGGTAGGGAAACTCAAATAAATCACCACAGCTAGAAAGAGCATACTAAAATTAGTAAAATTACAAAGTTTGGTTGCGAAATGTTGTAAAATGAGGAAAGTATAGCCTTGCAAAGTTTGCAAATTTTGTATACTTTTGTATTGCTTGCGGAAATTCCTAAGACATTCCTACCACATTTAGGCGGAAAATGTCGCACGCAATACAAAAGTATACAAAATTTGCAAACTTTGCAAGGCTATATTTTCCACATTTTACAACATTTCGCAACCAAATTTTGTAATTTTACTAATTTTAGTATGCTTTTTCTAGCTGTGGTGATTTATTTGCATCTCCTTGCCTAGTTTTAAAATTAGTCTATAATGGGAATTGTCTATTAGGCTATATTGAGTATTGATCTATTTTCTTCCAACTTAGATGCAGATGGTGAAAATATTTCATCACTGGAAAAAATTGCATTGAGAAGTTTAAAGGAGCTGAAATTGAAGCAAGATGAGAGAAGTGATCAATTAAATAATCTATTCAACGAAATCAAAGAGGATGAAATAGTAAGACATGAAAAGGAAGAAAAAATTAGAGAAGAAAATAAACAAAAAGCAAGTAAAGAACATCAAATGAAGATGAATGAAAATCAGGTTTGATTCTTTCATTAAGGGCACAGTTCAGCCTTTTGATTGATGGTTTTTAAGGTGCATTTCAGCCCTTTTAATTGAAAAAACTAACCAGGAAAATCAATAGACCTTATCGATTATTCTCTTTTAATCAATGTCCTTGTTTGCATGTTAACTTACTTTAGCATGTCAGGGGTAGCCTGCGGTGCAAACGCTTCGTATTTCATGATGAAAGGGTTTCATCAGTGGGAAACCCTTTCATCATGAAATACGAAACGTCTGCACCGCAGGCTAGTCAGGGGTAGAATGATAAAGATTATATTCCCATGTTTTCCTGGACGAATTTGTTTGATCTTGCTGTTCTTAGGCTCAATAACAAAGTAATTTTTAACCCTACTAAGCACAAAACATGAGTAAGTATTTGACATGAAAACGAGGCCATTGGGTGAAAAGTGAATAAATGGTAAAGTCTATTATGTATAATTCAAGATCAGTAAACTCAATGTTTTTAACAATAAAAATGTTTTAAAATGTTAAAAACATCAAGTTTGCTGATCTTGAATTATGCTTAATTGATTTTCCTAGTTAGTTTTTTTCAATAGACAACTTGCATGTTAGACTAATTTTTGATCTAGGCAAAAAAAGTAAATTCCCATGAAGAACTTATTAAAATTGCAAAATTTGGTTGCAAAATGTTGTAAAGCTTGGAAAATATAACCTTGCAAAGTTTGTATATGTTTGTATTACGTGCGGAAATTGTTACCATTTTTGAGCCGAAAATGGTAACAATTTCTGCACGTAATACAAACATATACAAACTTTGCAAGGTTATATTTTCCAAGCTTTACAACATTTTGCAACCAAATTTTGCAATTTTACTAATTTCGTTATGTTCTTTTTAGCTGTGGTGTTTGATTCCCTTCCCTTTACTTAGAGAACAATTTGATAACAAAAACGTTTTTTCATTAAGGTGTAATTTCATTTCTTAGAGTCTTAAGATGAAAATTGAAGAAGAGGCTAAACGTCAACAACAGAAATTGCAAGATCTTCAAAAACAGTTTGAGGTGAAGAAGATTAGTGTTTAAGATATATGTGTCTTCAAAATAGAAATCTGTGTTCCATATCTTCATTTAGTTAATGATATTCCCATTTATTGTGTTGTATTTCTTGTTGCTTTCCTTCACATGTGGCGCTGTACACAGTGTTAATGCATGCGTTATCAATCGTTATTTAGCTTGAAATGAACGATCTGGAAAAACGACGCAAGGAAGAAAAATTAGCTTTGGAAAAAATGAAGGTGTGTAAAAGTTTGATGTATTTTTAAGATTGATATATCATGTCCCATTTTAAATCCTGTAGAGTCTGTTACTTATAATTTTTTGTTGAAAAATTATCGTGTGTACAAGTATAGTTACTGTATGTATATCATTGTGCTTTTTCAGAGTGAAGAAAGGAGAAAACACGAGACACAGAAGGAGCTTGCTTGCATCACAATCCAGAAGAACTTTAGGATGTACAGGTAATGGCCATCCCTTATTTTACAGCAGGAAACAGAAGTACTTGGGGAAGACCTGCTAGAAGAACACTTCTCACATGCTAGCTGAGGCAAAATTACAATCAGACAATGGATGATTCACATTATAGACTAATTTTAAAAGTAGTCATTCAAGGAGATGCAAATAAATCACCACAGGTATAGAAAGAACATACTCAAATGAGTAAAATTGCAAAGTTTGGTTGCGAAATGTTGTAAAATGCGGAAAAAATAGCCTTGCAAAGTTCGCATTGCGTGCGGAAATTGCTACCATTTTCGGCCCAAATGTGGTAGGTATGTGGTAGCAATTTCCGCACGCAATACAAAAGTATACAAAATTTGCAAACTTTACAAGGCTATATTTTCCGCATTTTACAACATTTTGCAACCAAACTTTGCAATTTTACTCATTTAATATGTCCTTTCCTAGTTTTAAAATTAGTTTATAATGGGAATTGTCAATTGCATACTGCAGGAATTGAACCGGAGTCGTGGAGGTGGAACACCTACAAAATACATTAACCTTTTCCTGGCAGCAAAATTCAAAAATAAAAATTTCCTGTGTTAGTCAACTTGTTGCATATGTAGATTTCAGAGAACGTATGGTACCGCACATTGTAATAAACTTTAATCCCTGCACAAGACAATCTCGACTTACAAAATCCTTTTGTAAACAATAAGTAAATTATAATTGTTTTTGTTTGTGGAAACATCACGTAAATTTTTGTGGAAACACCACGTAAATTTTTTTTTTTAAATTTTTTTTTTCGTGTTTCCACAAACAAAAACAATTATATTTTATCGCCATGCAAACATTCAAAGAACTTAATAAGTAAATTGTATGGCAATTCCAGTATTTCCTGCGAGATCTAAAAACATTTCCTGCAAAAATATTTCGTTAAACATTTCCTGACAGTATCGGTATTAAATCGATATCGGTATATCGATACCGGATATTCAACCATACCGATATACCGAAATTTCGGATAT